GATCAGCAGGCACTGGGGAAGTCCCTGTTCCCCTGAGCACTGCCAGGAGTGACCAGGAATAACGGTCACAAGCTGGCAGAGGGTAGATTTAGGCTAGATATCAGGAGGCGCTACTTCACGGTCAGGGCGGCTAGGATCTGGAACCAACTTCCAAGAGAAGTGGTGCTGGCTTCTACCCTGGGGGTCTTTAATAGGAGGTTAGATGAACACCTTGCTGGGGTTGTTTGACCCCAGTACTCTTTCCTGCCATGGCAGGGGGTCGGACTAGATGATCTACTCAGGTCCCTTCTGACCCTAGAAACTATGAAACTATGAAAGGCAGGGGGCTGAGGGAAAACTTCAGTCTGAAACCCTCCATGGACAATCCCATGCCTCCAGAGAAAGCAGGTATATCTGTATGCTTGACCATTCCAATCATCCTCAATAGCCAGCTATGGTGCTATGAGAAGTAGGAGCTTAAGGTCCATTATGGTCACACCCATCAAAGTGTTATAGCTCAAAAGCAGCACTCTGTTTCTGCACAAAGCCATTTGGAGCAAGCCACTGTAAATCACAGAGAGCATGTAATGTGCTTCCTACAGTGGAGTTTTTGCAGCCCTTTTGCCAAAACTAAATGCAGAGTTGAGCGTTCTCAGCCATTGATAATATCTCTGCCTCTGATAACAGCAGAGTTGAACTGCTCTTCAGCTTATGGCCTTGGGACCTGCTGTGCCCTTTGCAGTTCCATCCAGTTGTTTCCCTAGCTCATTACCTTCTTGATTCAAGCTTCAGCTACTTCCTTCTCCCACAAGGCCTAATCTTAATGATTCGGGGGGGGGGGGGCTGGAATCCTTGCCCTAGTGTGATGCAAGAGGGAAATGTTTGTTGCTGCCCTCCCTCCCCATCTCACCTAATGGTTGTTGATGTGTTGAACAGGAGGGTGATGACAGAATTATTTTGGGCCCTGCAGGAATTACTAGTAGGTGCAAATGTGCAGTCACCATATGCTACCCTTTAAATCCTGTCAGAGAAAAGAGGCTGGCACCATTCAGGTATAACTGTCCCCTACCAGGGCCTGTAAAGAATAAGATACCAGCAACACTTCCAGATCTCTGGTATCAAAGGTGGCTGAGAGACCTATCAAAATCACATTTGCATTTTTAACATTACTCCTTAGGCCAAAACCACTGCATTCCTGACAGTATATTACCGTTCAATTATGGTGCCTTTTTGAAAGGTCTTGTGTAGTGAGGAAACTGCCATGGTCTCTTAAGTTTTGCTGGTGCACCTGGCTCAGTGTGTGGAGGCAGAGTAGCTCAGGTGGACTGTGCTGCCTTGCTGCATTTCAGGTCTTTGCTATGTGCATGAGCAAGCCTGATGCAGGCTTGTCTATACAAGGTGCAACTTCCAGCTGTATCAAGCCAACTAGATGTAGAGAGAAGCACTTTTTGGAAGTTCTCAAAGTATGAAGAAGTAATTCTCCCAAAAGCTCTGGGGAGCAGTGGGCCTATCTAAAACATGATGGACAACATTCCTACCCAGTCCAGCAATAGCATCAGAGCAAGAACAGCTTATGTTTCCTCTGTTCAGGGATTTCTGGGGGCAGTTTTGTCCTCTGTCACAGACTAGATTATTGCTGAGGGTATAACTCATACCCTTGCTCTCAGTCCTTATCGACTATTTTCACAGGCATGCAGACTAGTTGGAGCACAAGAAACGCCTGTATTCTTCCCCTGATTTCCTGTTCTGGAAAACACCTTACCTCAAGGCTGACTGGGCATGGGGAGCAGCCAGTTATGAGGTATTGTGCCTTATCCTGACGTGCCATTAGCTTTTGAGCCAATGCAGTAATGAATGAGTGGCCCTGGTTGCTGACATGTCAGGAGGACTGCAGCTTTTATACTGATCCAGTGTCTCAATGCGCAACAATTCCACGAGTCCTTAGAAAAATAAGACATAGGCTTCTTTCTTTCCCTTTACACACATGTGCGTATGCAGACACACTCTGAAAACCCCAGAACTGGCAGATTAGTGTTAAATATAGAAGCTTTTCATTGAAAAGCAGGGAAGAGCTAATAGCACCTCAGAGAGAATTCTGTAGCTGGTTTTGGTGACTAAGAAATGTGAGAGACTGCATTGTTAGCAGAACTCTCTCTGCTGACACCTGTGAGAGCTTAGTGGGGTGAAGAAACACAATGGGGTTGTGTAGCTGATGCTGCTTCCTGTTAACAAAACTTCCCAGATAATAGAGAGAGCCCAGAAATAGGACTGAAAGACGTTTTTTAATCTTCAAACTGAGCAAAAGCATTGCAATGAACAGACCATTCACAGGGCAGAGAAGCATTGTACAAGAGAAACTGGGTCTGCAAATCAAAAGAAGATTTTTCCACTGTGGGGAATGTGGAGAAGTCACGTGTGGGTAGGGGAAAGAGTGCGAGGGGTGTCGCGGCCTGATAACAGTCGGCCGGATCTGAGAGAAGGTTCTAGAGATTTCTCGGTTAGATCGTGGAGAAGGTTTCTTTAAGCAACCATGTTTAACAACAAAGAGATAGTTACAAATAACAACAAAACACAAAATGTGACTATAACATACAATAACACCACAAACATAAACATATATCAGTGGCACTTATCGGTCAGAGCCGGTTGCCAAATGTGCACTTTCTGTCTAAATAGGCTTTGTTAGCCTTTCACAAGTCAGGTGTTCCCTAGTTTGTGAGCTGACTCTGGCTTGTGAGGCATGGTCCAGTGCGATCCTTGTCATGACCTCCGTCTCTGACTGATCGAGTCAAAGGTGATGTTCCCAGTGTCGATCTCGAATGTCTCCACCGCTGTTTGGGCGCACTGAGACTTTATACGGTTGGCTGAGCCACTCACAATCTTAGGTTTTGAATCATGCCCTTATTTGGAAGATGCCATCCCTTATGGATACAAGCCTCAGAAAGCATGCATCATCGCTTAGGAGACAATGCATAGTCATTTACCTGCAAGGCTGAGCTATGGAAATTCCCCAAACCCCACTGGGAATTCCCCCACAGAGGGGGTCCAGTGAGATGTGGCAGGGTGAAAGGAGGCCTGGCAAGCCAGACTCCTGGAGGTTTATGAGTGAGAGCTGCAGAATCAGGACCACAGAAGTCCAGGTCATCTGGCACAAACCAGAGGGGGGACTTCCAAGCTGTTAAAGAAGGCCAGGTCATCTGGAATGGCCTTACTAATGGGTGAGAAGACTGCAGAAGGAACAAAATTCTCTTCCTTGAAGAAGGCTAGACAGAAAATATTCAGGACTCAAGTTAGCATTCAGGTATATAGACCCTCAAAAGTAAGAAAAAAGGTATAAGGCCAGGGCTCCTGAGAAAAGGTTTAGCACAGACCTTTCTACCTGCAGATTCACTCTTTATAGTAGTTAGAAGGTATCCTGCGTGGAAAGATATAAATGTCAATGAAGGGACAGAGCATGTTCAGTTGTCACCGTGATGGCTCTGGCTTTGCTCTCCTTGGAAAGCAAATAAAAGGCTGAAGTGGGACTGTCAGCAGAGCTAGTGGATTTCCATTGAGTTTCTTGGAGCCTGCGCTCCTTGCCCCCTCCCCTCTTATTCTTCAGATATAGCTGATTAATACACATATTTCTGTGTCGCACATGAATGGGTTTTGGAGTGTGTCAGTTGTGTGAGAAAAATTGATAGTGCGGGCTGTAGAGCATGGCAGCTGGAATCTCTCCTACTAGAGCTGCAGTTCTTAGTTATAGGAGATTTGCTAAATCCTGGCTCAGCTAAGAGGCATTTTCTACGCCTCTTTTCAATTCCCTTCTCGTTCTTTTTTGCTCAGGTTCTCAGAGCATGGCCATCACCATCGCATGACCCTGAGAAGAGCTTAAATAGCACTCACCTTATTGGATAGAAAATGTGTACATGGCAATATGACCCCCAACAAGAATATGACAATATGACCCCCAGCACTCCTAACCTTCTCCCTCAAAAGGGCACACCTCACTTCAGCAGCTGCTGGGGGCAGCAGTTGGTTCCATGGCTTGTCCATTCACCTTGCCCATCTCTGCAAGTAGAGGCAGTGGTGGGTCACCCATTGCATTCATAGATTGCCAGCTTATCTTTCAACTAGTAATGAGCAAAAAAACTTCATTCTCTCCTGCTCAGACCAGTTTGCAAAAGGACAACCTGGCTACTTCTGCTTTTGGGGAAAGCAGGTTTCCAGTGGGACTCGCATCCTTTTTCTTGATAGAGTGCTCTAAGTGCCAGGTCTCAGTTCCAAGCAATCCAGCACGAGGTAAGAATGACATTCCTATAGTCTTATTGTCTCTGACTGGATTTATCTTAGTGGGAAGGGTAAAGGAATAGAGAAATGTGTTTACTTGAAAGACAATCCCCTCCTTGAGGCACAGGGTCTTCAATCCTCCATTTCAAACCAGCTTACTCTGCTTGCAATTCCAATGTGCTGCGCACATTCTTCTCAGTATGTGCCATGCTCCTGCCCAATTCCAGAATCCTTATAGCAGAGGAATCAGTCTTTATAAATTGGGGCTCCCTCACAACCTTTGCTCAGATGATATTGGCCAGAATTCACAGACATGTCTAGGTGCCTTATTCACCTTTCAATGGCAAGTTGGGTGCCAAAAAGGAGTTAGGCCTGTAAGGACCTTTATGAATCTGGCCCTTGGTCTCTCTGATGCCCATCTGCACAATGCAGTTATTAGCACTCATTGGCCCCTCAGTGGTGTGTGAGGCTAAATGCATTTAAGATGTTGAAATCCATGGGTAACAGGACCATCTAAAGTAGAAAGATGTGGTCTGTAGGATCTCTTTGCTACTGGAAGTTTGATTCATCCTCCCCAGGCAGGAAAGCACACATGTACAGAGAAGGCTGTGCTGTCATCAGACACTGGTTTCAATGCCTGGATTGGAGACGCTTGGCTTTTGGCCGAGGCTCCTCAGGGAGTTGGCAGCAAGAGAAGAAGAGTGGGCACCAGATTTCTAATTAACGGACAGTCCGTCTGCTGCCTTTGATTTCCACATCTCTGGAGAGGGGCAGGATCAGTGGCCTATGAGAGCTCCTTGTCTGTTTAGACCCCTCTTTAAAACTTCTAAATATAAAATAATCTGGAGATGCTTTGATAATTCTCAAAAGAAACTGAAACGGAAAAGCCTTTGAGCGGCTTATACAAGAAAACCCTCTGCAAAGTCTGGCAGCAGGTGATTCTCTGAAAGGTCTTAGTTCACAGGAGATGGCAACACTTTTGCTTCCTACAGTCCCTGTCACAGACAAGAGAAGAAGGGCTCAGGATCATTTGTAGCCTATAGCTGGTACAAGGCTTCTCAACATGTGAATTTTCCATTCATGTCTTTATAATTCTTCATTTACCCCGTGATAGCAGCCAGAACCTCCCAGTCCTGCTATCTTGCTTTTCTCCTCATGCATGACTTGTTTCTGCTACCCCTCTTCCCCACCCCCCAATCAAGTATGCTTTCCATGCATGTATGCAAAATCATAAATACCTTCTGGCAGAGGCCACCTGTGGGTACACAGAGTGTGAATGTGCCTTTTACCCTGGAATGTCAAACGAGAAATGGCTGTCGGTATGACCTCCAAAACCCTAGGAACAGGAGTGAGAACATGCCACTTGTATGTCATCTTTCAAAGTGATTGATGCTCCCCTGATCCCTGCAGGGTGACAGAAAGCATTGCCAGGAAGATTCCTAAGTTTTGCAGGGAACACTTGGATCATCCAAAGAAGGCGGAAGGTGCCCAGGTGGCTGCATGTGGCTGGCTGCCTTAGCATCACCTGGGAGGACTCCATGGCAGCTTGAGCATGGCCGGATATGATCTGAGCAGTGCCCATGGTGCTCTGTGGTACAGTGGAGCATGCGTAATTGTGAGCAGTACCAGACTGACTCTATGGCAGGTACACTGCATGCAGGGTAAAGCACAGACTACAGCCAGCTGAATCAAAGTGAGAGACTCTCTCCCTTCTCCCCAACCCAGAGGGTTTCCATAGCAATGAGAAGGTGTTAGTGACAGAATCAGGCAGAAGATCAGGTGGATGTAAAGGTTTTTTCTACTACCTATTCAAGATGATCTACACAGATTAGCTTGTCTCCCACTTTTTTCTTGCAAGGGGCCTCCATGAGCTAGACTGGTTTAACTCATTTTGCTGGGTTCCATTTTATTTCTAGACAGACTTAGGCCGATGGGGCCAGATTGTGGTTTTAACTCTGCCTGCCTTACTCAGCTCCTGGATAATCATGGCAGATTTAAGCCACCATCTCTAAGTCCCTGGGCTGGACAGGCAGAGTACATTTATGCTTCTAGTGCTCTCAGCTGCTAAAACAATCCCTTGGTACCACTGGTGTCGAGTGCGTGCAATGTAAAGCAGCCCCCAGGCTGTTGTAATTTACACCAAGACCAGGGATGGGACAGATAAACCTGTTAACTCATTGGGAGACTTACTTGAAAAGCCCTCTAAGACTTAGACAAATAAGGTTTCAGCAAATTTAATTTAACACTCCATCAACCCCCCACCAAGTATGTTCCCAAGGCTCTCTACAGAGGAGGAATTCTATGTTATACTTGACTACTTTCTCCTGTCTACCCAGTCTCTGTGTCCATCCCCACTCTTTATATTGCATTTTTTGTCTGTGAATTCATAAATTAAGGTTTGGCCTTGGTGGGAGGCATATTTAGATTTCAAAGAGGACTTTTATCTCATGATGGGGGAGGGAGGAAGGGAGAGAGACATTGGGAGACACGAGACAAGACTGCAATTAAGAGAAAAAGGTGAAATGCTCTGCAAAGGTTTGGGTATCAAGGCCATCCAGCACAACCACAGCTATGAGGGGCTTCAGGGTAAAGTGAGGGGGCTGCAAATGATATGGATGTGAACACAGCTGTGTGGATGCTGAATTCTTCAGTTTGGTGGCCAAACCCAAAACATTAATAAAATCCATTTGATTTGTCCCAAAGCAGAAAATGTTAAGGTTCTGTAAGCTAAAACAAAAATAAACACCTCCCCCCTTAAAAATATTCATTTCAGCAACCTCAAAGCAACCATTTCATTTTGGGTTATTTATTATTTTATTTATTTTAATTTAGGTCATTTTCAAAATGAAAAAAGTTTCAAAATGAAAAGTCAAAGCCATTTGTTTTGAAAATATCTACTGGTAAATGAAACATTTTGAAATATTCAACCATGTTTGTCCCCATTCCTCAAATAAAAGTAGTAACTGATCTGAATGAGCAAATAGTTTAAGTCGTCTCAAAATGGATTTTTAGTGATTTTTCTTTATGCTAAGGAAAAAAAATTGCCTGGCTCTAAATGTAATGCAAAAGAATGTGAAGCAAGAACATGCTGAAATGTGTTGGTTTTAGGGGCCTGATACCCGAGTTCCACAGAGCATTGTGAAAGCCCCAGTCTCTTCCATTCCCACTGCCCTTAAGTCCCTGGGGATGGGAGATGGAAAGGAAATCTGGTTGACCTCCAATCCTTGACTACATTCAAACCTTTTCCTTGAATAAATGTTTTCGATACTGCCAACTCTAGGGGAAGGGGTTGCACACCTGAGCTTCAACATCATGTTGGGTAGGAGAGAAATGGGCTGTGTATGTCACCTATCACTTCAACAGGTTCAAGGGGCTACCTGCCTACTGAAGTAGTGACTCTGAAGAGCTGGCAATAAAGCTATTATTTTAATATCCCTTTAAAAGGCCCACAACATGTGGACCAGCAAAAGGCCCCTCAGTTCATCAGACCATTAGGAGCTTCAAAGCTTCCTGAGACCTCAGGGGACTTCCCTTCTGACCCACACTGATTTACAAATCCACCCTCATCTCCTCAGTATTAAATGCAGGAGGTTTGGAAAAAGAGGGAGTGCCAAGCTGTGCAGGTGCATGCTTGGCCAGGAGCCATGGTGCTTCTGATAGTTTGGGCCCAAACAGATCCTAGACATCTCTGACTCTGTGTTTCTGCCAGGTTTTCCTCAGTCAGAGGAAGCAGCAGGGAGCCAGTAGCATGTTGTAGCTGCCCTGGTCAATGGACAGGTCATTTGAAGTTTTCCAGAATCACCTAGTGAGAAGAGAACAAATCATGTAGTGTCTGGAGTGCATGTGTTCCCAGGGAGCTGCTCACAGGCCTAGGAGGGCCTCACTGCTCATCCTAATGGAGAGGTGGCTGCTTCATGGCACATCTTCTTCAGCCTTTGCATGTGTCCAGCCAGGAAGAAATGCTGATTTGGGTCCAACTATGGGCTTGCCAGACTGGTAATGCAGTGGGAGCCAACTTCTTTGGCAAGTACATGATAAGGTAAGTCTCAAACCCTCCCTGAGTGCCTTTCCAACCCTCTTCCCCTTCCCCTACCCAATCAGTTGCTCTGCTTTCTGCTCCCTGCTCTGTTTGCCGCTACTTTCCTAATCTGCCACATGCCACACAGAGGCTGCCCTTGCCACTTGCACCATATGTGCAGTGGACTGGCCACCCCTGCTGCAGTGACTCCTCCCTATTTGTCTCAGCTGTGTTCCCTCATCAGAGGCACAAATTGGTAACTACAGGCTGCTGCTATTTTTTGTGTCCTGAGAACCCCCATCTCCAAAGTAAGGCACTAGATTAATTTTTCTTCTAGCCTAAGCAGAGTATTGTGAAAGGCGGAAAGATATCCCAGCCCCCTGAACAACTCAGTGGAAGAATGCTGCTACCCTAGAGTATGTTGCAATAGGACAGTCTCCTCTCTCCATTCAAAGGTTAATATGCTGGGAACCCAGGATCTGCAGCCCATCTCTCTCTGGCTCCAACACCGTTGTTGGGGGAGTAGTGCAGGGATCCTTTTGCTCCAAAAAACCCAGAGGCAGCAGCAGGAATGGTATCTTCATAACAGTTTGAATGGGAAACTGTAGAACAAGGATTCATCCACAAACTGGACTCCATTAGGTATGGTTTGAACAGGGACTAGGGATTCTTATCTCATTATCTGGATTAGTTTTTGTAACCCTTTTGTTCCTATGGGTTTAATGTTTGTTTGCGGGGTGGGGTGGGAGGGGGAGCTTTGCCAGCTGCAAGGGCACATGGAGGATTCGGGACCTATCTGGATCCCTGCATAACCAATACAGCTGTTCGGACAGCTGGGATTGCTGCGTCCCAGTCACATGGAGCTTGGGTTAGAACCTGATCTCCATGTGGCCAGGAGAGCTGTCCTTGCTCAGCTAGGATGCTGTCTGGCATTCATGTGGGGATTGGAGACTCCAGATCCTCACGTAGCTGGCAGGCAGCATCCTGACTGAGCAAAGATGACTCTCTGGGCCTTGTGGGGATCAGAACTGGCCCCCTGACTGCAGTCCTGGACTAGGCTGCTCCTGTCAGGTGCAATTTGCTCCTGATGGGAATTCACATGTAGACGTGCACCCCAAAACACTTTAATGAGCCTGAATTTTCTGTGAAGAAAATTCAGGTGCATTAACTGCATGTGTAGATGTGCCCTATCTTTCTATCTGTCCCTCTTGCTTTTCTTTTGTATTTTAATTGCTCTCTCCTCCTTAGTATCTTCTTTCTTCACATCTTTTCACAGCATCTAATGGAGTGAGCTTTAGCTCAAGAAAGCTTGTGCTCTCTCTCTCTATATATATTTTATTTAGTTAGTCTATAAAGTTGCATATGTACCCTGGCCTCTGACTGATTTCAAAATAACATGGCTAACTATCTCTAACTACCTATGTTTCCTTCAAAGAAATAGCAGGAACTCTTTCTTTGCGCACAGAGGCAAGACTAGCAGAAGGGCTTCCAGTAGCTGTCAGTGGACGTGGGGGAGCCAGGTCTGATGGTTTTCTTGGTAATCACAAGGGCTAGAAACTCACTTTTTTTTTTAAATGAAAGATGTAATAAGTTGATTCAAAGAACTGTGAGTCTGCACCTTCATCTTTCAATCCCTGCAGCTGAAACAGGCTGGGGTGGCCCCCCTCACAGCCAGTCAAAAGAACTTGCAGTGAGTAATGCAGGGAACTTTCCCCTTTGGGCCGAGTGAGCTGACCTCTCAGGCTTCCCAAGCACTAAGGGAAGTTCAGTCCCAGACTCAAGTCCTGTTTTCTGTCCCTGAGTTGGGATCTTGGCTCTTTTCTTCCTCACAACTTCTCCTGTTGCCTTTTGGTGTTTCTGGGGAGCTGGGAGTGATTGCATGGAAACCTGATCCCTGCTTTTCAAAGACAACACTACACATCACCCTCAACAAATAGTTGGTTGTCAGAAGAAGCCTACAATATTAGTGCATAATGTAAGTGGAAGTAATGTGGAAAGGATCAAAGCTTCCAAGGCCACCTGTGCATAGGGTGACCATTCATCCCAGTTTGGCCGGGCAGTCCTGGATTTTGTGGGCCGTCCCAGCATCCTTGCTGGTTGGTGAAACAGAAGTCTCAAATTGGTGCCACCCCTCCTGCACGTGCCTGGCTCGGCTCCTCCTGAGCAGCTGCTGGAGATGAGAGGCAGCCTGGGCTGGTCGCTGCTCCTCCTGCCTGGGACGGGGAGCAGTCAGTGTCCCAGATTTCCTTTAATATAGTCATCCAACCTCTACAGAAAAGGGAAGCAGTGCAAGGACTCCATGGCTTACCCAGGAAGTGGCTATTGCAGGATTGCTATTTCTAATGGAAATGTCTTATGCAGTTTTTAGTGCCTCCCAAGAAGCTTGTCCCAAGGGTTCTGCCACAGTTAATGTCCAAGCTGGTTTGTGCTTCTCAACATTATCAACAGAGATCAATCTATTGGTGTCAGCTGAGGCTTGTCTGGGCAGGGAGGGGAGTGTCTTTATCCCAGTATTTGTTGGAAGAAAGGATTGAGCTAGGCATTGTTTCTGAGGATGGATGGAGCCAGCACTCTCCACAGCTTGCAGGCCTCTGCTGTGAGATATAACCATGATGGAAGGCAGAGGATAGCAGGCCCATCTCAGCCTTGCTGACCTGCTTCTGTCACGTTCCTCAGACACATGGAGGCAGCTCCCTTTGGAGGCTTTGGCAGTGATTACAGGGATTGAGTCGCAGCAGGGCTAGCAGAGGAAGAAGAAAATGTTCTTCGTCTTAATCGCCGCCTCCATCCTGCCTGCATGGCCCAGAGAAGCTGATATTTAACCAAAGTCAAAACATCCAAACAGCTCAACCCGGGGTGCTTACACTGGAGCTGCTCACAGAGCTGCCATTTCCATTCAGCAATGTTCTCTCTCTTTAGGACGGACTCTGCTGTGGGGTTGCCCTTGCTCATGTGGCCAGAAGGAGCCATGTGGGGCGGCTTCTCTCCTCCTAGTGTTCAGGGAAGGTGGGAGGGGAAAGGCCACTGTAGAGGCTCAGGAGTTCCTTTCCTGGGAAGAGAAGTTGGTGCATTCCAAAAGCTAAATAATTTGGTTCACAGAAGGATCTGTTTTAAGGCAGCAATAATCACCCTAGGAGAGAGGGGGTGACTCCTTGAGAGATAGAAATAGGCCCCCTTGACAAAATCCCTTTTTCCTCTCTTTTAATTGTTGCCAGCATAGATGCCTGAAAAACACTTTCCAGGCAAATTGGTGTCCCACAGGCAAAAGGAAAATGGAGTCATTAAAGCAGAAATATGCCAGTTGGAGTGAAATGCCTCATCATCCAGCCTGTTGCCAAATAAGCTTAAACCTCTACATGGGAGGGCAGTCTTGGATGAGCTGGAATCGATTTCCATCTGCCTCTGTCTTCATCTGCCATTTGCATGGGCAACTCTGAGCCACTGCCTATGTGGCTTGTAGCCAGGCTGCCTTGAACTGATCTTCTCAGGTTTTGTAAGATAAGTAGGTTTGGATAGAGGCTCTCCAATGAGAATCCAGTTTGCTGGAGGAAGTATTACTGATAGTGGTGAGACTCCTCCCTGTGGGGCAGTATTCGAGCAATACTACAGACTGGTACAAGACTTGTCTGTTGGAGATTAAATAAACTATGTCTCTGAGCAACTGTGGTTGTTAAAGTTCTCATGGAACTTTGGGTGTGCTTCCGGGTGTGAGGAGGAGTGTAAGTGGGGACTGAACAGTCCCTTTAATGGCAAGTGAAAGGTGGAATAATGAAAACAATCTCTAGCTCCTGAGATTGAGACATGAGTGAGTTATTCCCCTTTAGGAGAGATGAGTGGGCACAGGGACAGGATACTGGTTTCTTGTCTAGTTTATTGACAAGTGTGTGTATTCTTCAATGGAGAGGTTAGATAGCAAAAGGAAATTGCAGTTTCGAGCTCCCATATATCATAACCCCTTTCAGAATCCGCTCTAACACAGCAGCCCTATGTTCAGGATCCAGCCACACTGCTGCTCTGTCTGCAACTTCTCCATAGATGCTGCTTCCTGCTGCATGGATTTCTGTCATTTAACTCCTTTGTGCCCCAAATTCATCAAAATCCCTTTGTTAAGGGCCTGTGTCTGGGATGAAATCAGTCACGTTGCTCAGACTCACCACTTGAGTCAGTGACAGTCTATCTAGGGAATTTTTGTCTTGACAACAGAGTCATGTGTGGCTTGTGCCTGTGAGACAATAGGCTTACTAAATACAGTACCAAACAACAGTCATTGTCTCATTGTATTGATTAAGTGACTTAGCATACCAGGAGGCCTGCAGCAAATTTTGCTCTGTGCAGGGGTGGGGGAAGAGGGGCAAATGGGAAGGAGGGAAGGCTTCTCAACTGTGCTGTATTTCAAGAAATTCATTATTTTCATATCTTCATCACCTTTGCTCCCTGCAGTTTAGTGGAAGGAGGAGATAGGGGAAGGGAGGGACAAGACCAGCAGAAAAGTGAGTATGTGCAAGGAATGTGTGTCTGAAATAGTAAAAGATAGAAAGCAACCAGCAGAGGTAAATCCAACTGAATTTGTAAATCCCTACAGGGACAGGAGGAATCTGCAGACAGGCTCCTCTGAAGTGGCTTGCGCTAGAGGACATATTACCAGTGCAACAAGCATGACACAAGGGCTGAAGAAGCTAGGCTGTGCAGAAAGGTGAAGGGGGCTGGGCTAATGCTCCATAGAAAGCAAGGACTTGTCTACATTGCAAAATGTAAACCTGTTCCAACACCTGAGCTAGGTACAGATGTTCAAAAAGCCTGAGGCAAAACTGATCTAAGTTACACATTTTTTTCTAAGTTTCATAGTAGGTAGGGTCAGAAGGGACCTAAGCAGGTCATCAAGTCTGACCCCCTGCCATGGGCAGGAAAGAGTACTGGGGTCAAACAACC